ATTCCCATGTTGAACAAGTGCAGCTTGCCCAGGATGCCTTCCCATGAGGCCAGGTAAACAGGAGGAGGATTTCTGTTTGGCTCAGCCTCACTGGCTTAACAAACGACTAACATAGGATACGTTTTTTGCAATAAAAGTAGTTCGATTTTTTAATTCTTTGCAGAAAATGTGTAATGCTTGCTTGCCCGTATAAAAGCAATCACACTTTTAGGTTGTTGATGGTTGCTGTGTGGTTGCTAAGGTTTTCTGGGTGGTTGCTAGGGTGCTGCATGGGTGTTCTGGCTGATTGTTAGGGGGTTCCTTACTGTATCGATTCAAAAGTGTATGGCTCTGGTCTCTCTTTCAGCATCACTTGGCAAGCACAAATTGTACATTTGATTGTTTGGAAAAGAAAACATGCAACATTTGATGTACGTTAATAATTATGATTGTTTAATGTTTTTGAAAGACATCTCTTATGCTCATCCAGGCTGCAGTTATTTAATGAAAAATACAGTAAAACAGCAATATTGTTAAATATTATTACAATTTAAAAAAAAAATCATAAGTCTTTAAAAACATTAAAAAATCTTTATTACTCCAAACTTTTGACCAGTAGTGTATCATCCATGTATGTAGCTCAAGTTCAAATGTGAAGCCATGAGGAATAGTAGTAGCATGTTTTTTATACATTTAAATTGATCACAACTTCTGTTTCAGAGAAAAGCAATTTTGCCGTGAAGCCATTCCTAAAAAGCATTAAAAAAAAAAAGCTTTTGGTTTAGAGGAAGTTGATGTGTTCCCCTTCCTGCCTCACAGCGAACAGTGTGCGAGTGCAACTATTTGAGTGAAACAGGATGCAAATGAGTCACATCATGTGACTGCAGATCCCATAGCAGACTGAACTATAGGGAACGACGTGTCTCATTCCACGTGCAATTCCATAGACACCATTCAGACCACTCACACTTGTGCAGCAGCACGTATAGTTTGTGATGAGTCACAGTCACTCAACATCCTCCCTCCTTCCTGGATGTGCTGTCAACAACACTCTACTGACCAGTCTTGACTTCTTGGTAATTACGTCATGAGTGACATGTCTCATTACTGGCATGTGTATGTGTGTGATTACTGTACATACTGAGCTGAATATGTAATAACTTTGGATGTGTCATATGGGTCATTGACATAGATAGTAAGAGTCTCCAGAATTAAAATTGGTTTCATGTGGTCTTGAAAAGCTTTTAATTAAATTATTTTCACACAAAAAAAAGTTAACATTTATTTTAAATGTAAAGTTTAAACTTCCGCTTGCTCCGGGGTTTTTTTTATTTTTATTTTTTACACCGAACTTTAAACTCATCTATGCTACTTTGTTCAGTTTTGTAAACTTTTTCCAGTTTGGCGATTAAATCAACTGTTTTAGATCACCGCTCGAGTTGAACGTGAGGCATCCAGTGTGTGTAAAACCTGTGCTGTAGATGCAGCACTGCGCTTTTACCTGGTTTGTGACTGCCATATTTTGCTATTTTGATGAGATAATCACCAAGTATTCTAAAATAAAAGCAAATAAAGTGTGAAAGTATACATACAATTAGTGGTCGACCGAAATATATCGCCAAAGCCGATATATCGACCGATATTTGGCATTTTTCAAATATTGGCATTGGCCGATACGTTTTTCTGTTTGGCTGATGCGTTTGAGGCGGGACTTTTATTTTGAAGATGCTGAGAGCGGCAGTGCCTGAGCACATAGTGCTCACATTCTCCCTTTTGTTCGCCGTCGTCGTAATACGGATAGAAGTCGGTCTAATAATCCGATAGAGGTGTAAACAAAGGAATTAAAATGTATACAAAAAGTATTATAATGATTGCTTTTATATTATTAGTAATAGAAAGGCAAACATTATAATACTTTCTTGTTTGCCGTCAGCATTCAGCAAATACGCATTTACATCATTTAAACAAATCTTTGAATGGCTAATGAAAATTTAATTTCACAAACCTTGCAAACGTGAAGTCAAGTGTGCATGTGACCTGCATGATCGCGTGTTCTCTGCATGACTTTTGGTCCGTGCAAATTGAATGCTTCAAACATTAAATTCGTGATTTCAAATTATGCTGCGCTTTATGCATTTGCCCACTGTCATATTCATGTCATTTTCACTGTGTGCTGTATGTAAAATGAGTGTTACCTTGGCTTTATTTGAAAGAAAAAACATGATTCCCAATGCACACAAACTTCCCAGAATACTGAGTGCCCTGTTGGTTACACTTTACTTCTTTTTTTAATTATATTTTTATTAAATATTTATTTATTTGTGAAAAATACTTCATCTAAAGTATAAGTATGTTTATTTTACAAATTAATTTTTTAATCCATTTTCAAATGATTTCAAATTTCTTAAATATTAATTAAAATAAATACAATTATATCAGCTTCATATCGGCCATCGGCCACCCTGCTTTTCAAGATATCGGCATCTGCATTGGCTGTAAAAAAAAACAATATCGGTCGACCACTACATACAATATCCATATGTATGTCATTTCAATGATATGGCCTTTGTGTAGATTTTTAAATATGGCCATCTTTTAGCATGACTGTTGAAATGAAATGTAAACCTGGACCACAAAACCAGTCATAAGGGTCTTTTTTTTAAAATAAATAATGAATAAATAAAGCTTAATAAATAAGCTTTCCATTGATGTATGGTTTGTTAGGATAGGACAATATTTGGCCAAGATCTGAGGGTGCAAAAAAAAATCAAAATATCGAGTAAATCACCTTTAAAGCTGCCCAAATGAAGTAATTAGCAATGCATTTTACTAATCAAAAATTAAGTTTTGATATATTTATGGTAGGAAATTTACAAAATATCATCATGGAACCATGATCTTTACTTAATATCCTAATGATTTTTGGCATAAAAGAAAAATCGATAATTTTGACCCATACAATGTATTGTTGGCTATTGCTACAAATATACCTGTGCTACTTATGACTGGTTTTGTGCTCCAGGGTCACAAATGGTAACACTTAACCTTTAGTAACATTAAGATTAATGTGTTTATTTCAACATTTACTATTACAAATACATTTTTACATTTTAAAGTTTCTTCTTGTTAACATTAGCTAATAAATTATAAACTAACTTTTAATGATCAATATAATAATTAATATTAATATTTTTGTTCATTTGCAAAGTATGGTTCAGTACTGTGTGTGTGTGTGTGTGTGTTTTTTTTCTTTTAATGGTAATGCATTCTTTTAGTTTTCATTCAGTATCCATTTTAAAAACTATCGGTTGATTAATCGGTGTCGGCCAGTGTGGTCCAACCTAGCTATCGGTATCTGTATAAAAATTGGTTTCTTCGTTGGAATGGATTTGCTCACCAGTGGATCCTCTGTAGTGAATGGGTGCCGTCAGAATGAGAGTCCAAATAATAATTGATGGACTAGAATCGTGGATTATCGTGATGTTTTTATCAGCTGTTTGGACTCTTATTATTCTGACGGCATCCATTCACTGCAGAGGATCCATTGGTGAGCAAGTGATGTGATTTAACATATTATATGATATTTTAAGAGATATAGTGAGTTCTCTTTGATACCATTTCCTGTTTTCCTGTGTGTTCTCTATCTGCGTGTTGTGCAACATTATTTTTTGGCAAACCAAAGTTTTTAATAAAAGCAGTAAAGCTGTTTTCTTAAAAATTATTGTGAAAGATTATGCCGAACTTCTTAAAGAGGTTTTATTTTCAAGAATTTCATTCATGGTAGACATCCTTTAGACCTGGGTGATCCTGGGACATATCTGGAGACCAGAATATCTTCGACCTGTAAACAACCAATAAGCAACCACTTAGCATCATGATGAGTTTTGCACAGACAGGCACCACTAACATTGTCTTCAGGAAAATCTAGTCGGAGCAGGACACGGTCTCCCCGCAGAATAATTGGGATCTTTTATGGTAAATGATTACAGACTTTGCTCCGAGTTCATTTCCAGTGATTTTGATTGTGTACAGAAGCTTCGAATGATGGAACGTTCCAGCTCCTCCGGCAAACGACACAATTCATTCCAAACCTGAGAAAAAATTGAAAGGGAAATAGCACATGCTGCACCATCCATGGGGGGTCAGGCACGCGAGATCTGTGCAGGAACTGATGTTTTAGATTTGCCTATGTCTTTACATTCAGATGTTTATGCCAGGATGGAGAACAGAGATGGTGACTGGGTTTTGTATAGAAATATAATCCTGGTGTTGCTTCGAGCAGTTTATATAAGACAATATAAAACGTATAAAAGTGACAAATCGTTGAAAAATAAATGTGCTTTTATTGTAGACAAAGATTTTGTTTAACAGAGTGCCACATCATACACTACAAATCGTGAATCAGGGACTTTTCATAAAGCTATAAAACCAAGAGCTATTTTTTCATTAAAAAGCTGAGGCATCTGGATTTGACTATTTCCAAGATCCTATTAAAATATAATGTCACTCCCACACCAGTTGATCTTTTTATGCAACAAGTTTTGATTTAATGGCTTTGTCCAGTTTAAATATGACAGTGTCATGTCGGTTAAGAATTTAAAATATGAAATTTCTTCTAAATTGATAATTGGAACAGCCTGAATGCTGGCTTTTCCAATTTGCATGATTATATAAAATATTAAAAGCATATGCATTAAAACAGCTCCAAAGCATTGGAAACCAGCTGAATGGAAGCCAACCCAAAAATAAAGTGCTTGGAAGCCAAGCCAAAAATAAGCACGACTTCTTTGTTTTTCCATATACAATATGTTTATCCATATTTATTAAAACAAAAATGCGATGCCTGGACATGCAACCAATACTATGACATATTGTCATGCCTTGGTAATGACACTTATATAACATAGGAAAATAGCAAGTGATGTCATGTTTTGTGCACAATTGGCCAAAGCTCTTTTTATCATCAGTTTATATACTTCAGTGATATCGTCTAACATCTCCCCGTCTCTATTTACCCGCAGGACTGCTCCAGCTCGGAGGAATACACTGTAGCCGCCGCCTTGCTGCCCCTGACAACATGAAGAAGGGAAAAAGTACTTCGCTGTGAGTACATTTAGGCTTTGTGATCCTCTCCATTTAGCCCATCGCTGAAGAAAAGCACTAAGAAGCGTGACAGTCACTCTAGCCTAGTTCGGTTTCGCTGTTGTACAGTGGGAAAAGGGGGAAGTACGGGTTGCAGGATTTGGAGAGCGTCTTGCTTTCAACACCAATCCATCACATACCCACATTATAGTTGTCATAGAGACAGACACAACTGACTGTGTTGCTTTTTAATTGTGGGCTGCTCTGCGATCCGTCTGCTGTGCCTCACACTATGCACAGAAGACATGTGATGTAATCAAATATCACGTTGGTGACCCTCATGTTCGTTTGTGGGACAATAGCACTTGTCTAAGCCTAAGACACCTAACTTGAATTTCATACCTTGAAGAGGTTAGAAAGAGCTTCAGATCTTGATGTCAGGACATTGCAGGTAGCTGCCCAGGAGCTGCAAGCACTTGCTATGCACTTGCTACAATCACAGCATATGGTGGCATATTGGATAGGGCTACATGATTTGGGTGGAATTTTTTTTTTTTTTTTTAGAAATTGTGGTTGCAATTTAAAATGTTAAATTTTTTTAAGTTCCAGGTTTGCTTTTGTTATTTGTAGGGCTGTATAATTTGGCCAAATGTTGTGATTATATATCAATAATGATAATAATAACAACAACAACAATAATAACAGTAATAATAATAATTATTATTATTGTTGTTGTTACTAATAAATATTAAGCAAAATTGTACACTGTTGTAATATTTCACTCCAGAAAAAAAAGAGTATTTAGAAAGATTAATATAATAATACATTTATTTTACATAAAAAAAAATTGTTGTAGTATTTGCTTAAAACAGTTTCCACTCAGAAATTGCTAGCAAATTTCACAAATCCTTACAAAGAAGCAACAAGTAACGTGAAATTTTTAAGTAAAAAGACTGGAATAGTATTTTCTTGTAAATACCTACTCCAATATTTTAAATCACAAGTACGGTGTATTTATGTCTGTCTTAATTTCTTTCTTTCTTTCTTTCTTTTATTTACTTCTATCTGCACATGTGTAAAAGAACAAAAATCTCGTGCTTCTCTGTTCAACACACAGTTCATATATAAGGAATCATTTACGACAGGCCTTTGAATTATTAGAAAAATAATGCACACCCGAAGTGGTAGTCCAAATGATCTCAGATGCACTTTTACTGTGAACTGTGAACTTTTACACGTGTGTAAAAGAACAAAATGTTGTGTAACAGTGCTGGATAGTTACGTGATAAGTTTAATACTCAGGGCTAGTAGTTTGTTCACATGCAGCTGAGCACCACTAATTAGTTCTAGAGATACGTAATCCGAAATGTTTCCACAGTCATTCTTCATTTTAATTGATGAGATGCACCTGCCACAAACCGTTTCGGAGAGCTGAAGATGTCGTGCATTGAGGCAAACGATTCAAGTCTTTCATTAAGACATCTGAAAGCTATTTCTTCAAACCTTGAATTTCCTGTTTTTCCGTTTTCCTGTTTCACATTTGCCATTTTTATGTAAGAGCCAATCCTGATTAAAGCATTACACTAAAAAGAGCTGACAGTCAGATTTGTGAAGCCCTCGTGACAGAGATAAACAGCACGCTCAACAAGAGAGGTAAATGACTCCAGAAGGACTCATGCCACTGATTTCCCACAAACCAAAGGCTAAATTATTAAGGTCAACTCAACAAATATATTTTACGGATTACCTGAAATCAATTCTAACCCCCAGCAAGATACACTAAAATGCTGTGCAGTGGCTCTAATCTGTGTTCTGGCTATCCTTAGATGATCTCTGTGTCGCACAACAATTAAACCCTCATGCATTTTTCTGTCTGAGATCCACATGCCCTCCCCTTCACTCCCAGTAGCCTTGTACTAAACCACACTGCATGTTATTGAGGTTCTCAGTGCAGGCTTGGCAGGAGATAAAGGCTTCCCGCCACTCTACTTAAGGATGACCCAACTGAAGTATGGACATTACCGCAGACAAACTAGAGCTGTTGCATTTGCATTCTTGAAGCGCAAGTGTGATGTCTCAATAAGAACACAACAAGTTGCATGATTCAAGGTATCATTCATAGCACAAATGGCTGAGTTTGAATGATCAATGAGTCATGCATCTGGGATAAGGGTTTGTTTGAATCCCCAACCCTAAGTATGAGTAACTGCAATGCTTGTCTTAGCAAACATCTTTTTTTTTTTTACCTCGGGACCAAAGGGACTCAAAGACTCGACCACAAAGTCAACAAAACAATTCCCACAAAGATCTGCTCTGTTTACAACTACCTCTTTGCCTTGATTTACAACCTAAACCTTTTTCAGCATTGTAAATGAGTGCTTTACGTAACCTGAATAACTCTTAGCTCATTGTTTCTTGGCTTGAGAATGATTTTATGCCACGGATACCTCAAAGTCACCTCAAATGGAGATTTGTAGGACGAAAAACAACTTGACACCCGATACGTCATTGCTTTCCTTGTGAGAAATCACGCGCTCTCACACACAGTCAGGTTAGCCGTAGCAGGTCGAAAGGTTTCTCGCAAGTGATCGGCACGCATCTCATTTAGCCTTTGAGCTCTGATTCATTCTCTTTCTTCTTGGGAAATGCTGTGCATCGGGGTAGTTAATTGATTTTAGTAAGCAAGGTCGTTGACATACTGGGCTGTCATTCACAGATCATCACTCAAATAAAGCCTTCCTGCTCATTGAACAGTTAAAGATGGCATATAAAGACTGTTTACAAGTGTTATAGTAGGGGATACTAGATATGGAAAAAATTAGGTCAGAGTCTGGCTTTTGTTATTGCATTTTAGGCTAATTTTCTCATTGTATAAACGGCTTGTGAGTATAAAATAATTTGTTTGCGACATGACACAATCACAGTCATTCCAAACATATTTTATGTTCAATAACATCAGTTTGGGGCAAGATTTTAGGTCAGTGAGATTTCAATGTGGGTCAGGACCCTGTAAAATGTCACAGTAGTCCAATTAATTCAACTGTCAAAACTTCCTGTTGCTCGACACTTGACACTGCATTTGCATACAATAAATCCAGTCATAAAAATAGAATTTACAGAATAATGCAGAATGTCAAGGAATTTGGTCAATTTTGGATGAACAAATCAAAAGTTGAGCTGTAAACGTAATCAAATCGTGATGTGGTCTGTGAATATTAAAGAGCAAAAATAAATCTGCTATGTATTGCTTACTGTGTTTTCAGCATCTGCCATCTTACTATATGAGGACATGAAAACAAACTTCATCTCCAGAGCTGCCCCAAGGCCATGTGTCCACCAAAGTGTTTTTAGCGAGCTGAGAATGCCTGGTGCTCTGCTGAAAGCGCAATGTAAAGTACTTGAAAACTGTTATATTATTATATACACATAGAAATTTAAAGGGTTAGGGTTTCATGACAACCTTTCAAAATAAAAGTTTGGTTTAACTTGAACTTAAAGAAATTGTGAAAAATATATTACTAATATATTAGTAATACCAATAATAATAATCCAACTTTTAAAACTTAATTTTTTTAAGAATTTAATTTGAGCAGCAAACCTGTCATGCAGCACTTTGTTTGCAAAAAGGGATTATTAAATTTTCATTTGATTTACATTTTAAAAGATTAATAAAAAGGCTGGTGTTTTAGGTCTTTTACTAATTATTACCACTAATAATTATATATATTTACATTTAGTCATTTAGCAGACGCTTTTATCCAAAGCGACTTACAAATGAGGACAATAAAAGCAATCAAAATCAACAAAAGAGCAATGATATGCAAGTGCTATAACAAGTCTCAGTTAGCCTGAGAATTATTATTTATATTATTATTATATTGAATCATAAATCCAGAAAAAATGTGAGAAAACACAGAATTTCGGCAAAAATTAAAACATTTCATAAGGCTCCGTTGTTGTACACATTTGAATAAAATTGTTAAAGTTTTATGAATTTAACTGATTAGACTGATTACAATTGAATTAAAACATAAAATGCAGAATTTGGGAAAAAAATAAACTGGAATTTAGGAATATATCAAATTTTATGGATTGTGAGAGTGGATGGATTTTTCAGCCGTTTTGTTATTACGTATGTATGTTCTTGTATTTGTGAGAATATGAGAGTTGTTCTTTGCACTTTCACTTGGTTAGCTGGCTCATTGTGGCATTCCTCCAGCACATTGTCATCTTTCCCAGAGGGCTATGCCGTTCTGTAGTCAAGGTCTGCATGCCATGGGACATGGGAACATACTCAACAAGCTCTCTTTCGGTGAGCGGTCTGTTTGTATTTGAGTGAATAGTCAATCTCAAAACATTACCCCACTCTCAACCGAGATCGTCAGGTGTCATTGTTGCTGCACTGTGAAGTTATGTCTGCTGTGACGACTGGGAAGGTTGTAGATCTTTCAGGAGCTTATTTTGTTCTGAGTGTGCACCTGTAGCATGTTTATGAGTGTACATCATCCTGTACTGGTTTAGTCTGTCTTGAGATGTTGATGGGAGTGTTTAAAATTGCTCTTCTCACACTCACAATGCTGTGCTACGTGGTCATGAAAACGTATAGTTTGATTATTTTATACAGTGTGTGTAGCATTTCGGATTTATTTGTTCTTCTGTATTTTTTTGTCCTATTAATTGGAATTTAATCGCTGCTGTTTACTTGACAAGAATTAACTATAAAATTTCTATGGTATCAAATTTTGGTATCATAAAGACCTTATTTAAAGCAAAATTACCTATATTGTGTGATACTGTAAAATAAAATTACTCCTATCTCAGCAGAAATCTGTTAATTGTGAAAAATGCAATTTGTTGAGAATGAAATATGATTCAAATATGCTGTAAAATGAGCAAAATTCACTTAGTTAAAATGTACGAGATTGGTATGAGTACAAGTTTTCTGCAAATGTTGAGTTGTCTAATTAAATATGCACTAATTTGCATACAAAGAACAAAAATCTGAACATTGGATGAAGCCAAGTTATTTTTTATTTTATTTTTTTTTGACATGTTCGAGTCAAACGTGTTTACAGTGAGGATCTTGGATATGAACAGCCATAAAAATATAAACAAATACATTTTCACCATTTTTAAGGAATTAAAAGTTGTATAAAAAGTTTGGCAAAGTTTGGTGTGTGGAAGTGCTTCTGGAGTCAAGATTTTTAGCTTAGTGTGGGAGAAAAATCCCATTTTGAGAGAACGGCCTTTAAAGGTATGTATTGTAATTGAAATCTACAGACTATAAAAGAAACACTTAACAGTGTATTTTGAATGTTTTCTTTCCCCTAGCCTGAAAAATCCTTTATGTAAAGCCAAAAAGCCCAAAATCTCAAAACCGACAGATGCATGAAAAACGTGTTTTTGACTGTAGTGCCTCACCATAAAACCTTGTTATCCAAATGAATGGGAATTTTATATGCAATTGAAATACATAAATTTAAATATAGGCCTTAATATGCCATATTAATATGATAATAGGAATGGTCCAGTTTTGACCATCGTACCACTTGCACTGACTGTCACATGCTGCATAGATCCACGTGACTGTATTATGGGAAAGGGAGAGATTTTCCATTGTGTTTGTCAGTAAATAATGTCATGTCTGTATTTGTTATGTAAAGTATCGGGTATCTGTCTTAAAATAATAAATGATTGTCATTTGTGCATACAATTGTGGTTTGAATGTACCACGAATGTCTCTGGCACTGTCTGCAGCAGGCAAGGGTTTCAGCCACAGTTCAGCAGAAATGGTTTTGGGGTGTTTGTTGTCGTCGAGGCGTTACATTAATTTCTTGTCAATTCACGAGCTAGCATAACCCTGCCATGGCTCTCGCTGACCATAGCTTGACCTTCTCCTGTTTACTTTGCATTGTGGGACATGATTACAGCATGTCCTGCATACCGATGGGCCAGACAGCTCTGTTTGTTCAACCATTTAACATTTTGCCCTGATATTCTTTGTTGCTCTTCTTGTTTGACATAAATCATAATTGTAAATGTGCTGTTTAATCCTAGATGTCTTTTAGCTCACATAGACTTGCAAATGGAATGTCTCTTAGGATTAAGTAAGCAGGGATTTGTTCCATAATGTTGGTAAATAATTTAATGTTGGTAAATAATTACCCTGTGCTGTTCATGGATCACAGTGAGATCTTTTTTTTTCTGACACAAATTAAGCATTTGCTTTTTATCCCTATTGGGAAATTCAACTAAATAAAACACTGCCAGAAGTGGCCAAGGTCAACCTGGTTGACCTTCTTGGTCAAGGTGGCTGGAGCTGATAGGCCATTTTGGACCAAAAACAAACCAGCCACCATTTTCTTAAACCTTCTTTATCTCAAGGGTTCAGAATGGAAGCAATGTGCAGTGAAAAATAATCAAAAAGTCTATTTTTAGAAGAAGGTTGGTGATTTGGTGTGACATGAGCAAAAATGCTTACTGACAACCAACAGTTGAGACCTCTATTATTTAGAAGAACGACAATCAAAATGTCTTCTACTCATTCAAGGGCATCAGTTTTAACTCCACGTCTCCTGCCCGCCATTAAACACTTTCATGTAGTCTGATCAAATAGATTCCCCCCTGGAATGCAACATTTTGACATGTGCTCTGTTGTCAAGGCTGTACAGTTGGAAGAGGTCAAACTGACCCCCTCACATCTGCTGTTGGAGAACCAGCAAATCTGCACACATCCACCCCCATCTGCTGCCAGTCACAACCATGTTGAAGACAAATAATACTACTCTGGCAGTGCATTCCTGGTCCGCATCCTACAATAACAACTGCACTGATTCTTCTGCTGCATTTCTTGCCACTTTTTCACTCAGCTCCATCTGTATGTCAGCATTGAGGAAATGGGGTCTAGACAGCCTCAGAATATCTGCAAGTTCTCAAAGCTTCAACCTGGCCATCTTTAGCTATATCTGCTAGAATTATGGATGAGCTGGATTTATCAGCACAGCTTGACGTGGACAAGTCGGTATTATAGGGTCTCCTGGTGTTGAAATACATATTAGAATTTTTCAACTACATGGGGTATCTGCTTCAACCTGGCCATCTTTAGCTATATCTGCTAGAATTATGGATGAGCTGGATTTATCAGCACAGCTTGACGTGGACAAGTCGGTATTATAGGGTCTCCTGGTGTTGAAATACATATTAGACATTCCAGACTACATAGGGAAAGATCAACTGTCCAAACAAACCTTGACATTAATGTCTTTGCTGGTACTTTCCCAGTGATAGAGAGTGGGAAAATTCATATATGTCAAAATGAAACAGCCTTCAGATATACAGGGATTATACATGATTGGGTTTGGATTTATTGAAACAGCAAAAGGAGCTTTCCAAGTGCCTCTGCTGATGTGATCTTGAAGCCATTCGCTTTCAGAGGTTGTGTCCCAGTTTGCGTGCTGTCTATTGTAAATAGTATGCACTGGTTGGAGCTGATACACGACCACAATAAACAAAGCAGCTACCATCTTCCTGAACCATCTTTACCTCAAGGGTTTAGAATAGCAGTGATTTGCAGTGAAAAAGCATCAAGAAGTCTCTTTTTTTTTTTTTCAACAAACGTTTGTGATTTGAGGTGGCCTGAATGACAGATAATGCTGGACAGGGATGCAACAAGTTTGCATTTAGTACACCTCACTTCATGTAATGTAACTTCTGTAAGTTTAGATGGTGTACTGTTTCAAATCCATCCATGCATTCTTGTTCATATATCATTACCTACAACTTGTTGTGATATAGTAGAGGAGTTTGATGGTTCTCTTACGACATTGTTTATTAATAGTGGGGAAGTCGTGGCCTAATGGTTAGAGAGTCGGACTCATAACCCAAAGGTTGCGGGTTCGAGTCTCGTACCGGCAGGGATTGTAGGTGGGGGGAGTGAATGTACAGCGCTCTCTCCCACCTTCAATACCACGACTGAGGTGCCCTTGAGCAAGGCACCGAACCCCCAACTGCTCCCCGGGCGCCGCAGCAAAAATGGCTGCCCACTGCTCTGGGTGTGTGTTCACGGTGTGTGTGTGTTCACTGCTGTGTGTGTGCACTAAGGATGGGTTAAATGCAGAGCACCACATGTCACGTCACGTCACTAATAGCAAATAGCAGTGAGACCAAATCAGCCCCAGCAGTTTGAAAAAATTTAAAAGGAATTGCATCAAACACACACAGTATGCAACAGAGGTTTGTGGAATTAAATATGTCCCAACACTAGCATATTGTCTTTCTACATCCTCAAATGTATGTACTTTTTATCACCAGTGAAGCACATACTTTTAGTGCCTAGTAAAGTATGCTAATTGGGACACAGCCAGAATCTGTTCTTGCTTATTACGATGTTTGCCTCCGTCTTTCCATTGCTGCTGATTTTTCTCTTTCCCTCTTTCCATCTGCCGTTTCACTTGTGATTGTGGTTTGGTTAGCTGTAAGGAAACTAAGTAGCAAAGACAGTTTGTCATAACGTATATTCAGGGGTTTTGAGAAGAAGACATTAGATGGTAATTTAATCGGAGGTGTGAGGTGTACAGACCAATGGAAGGTGAGAAAAACGTCATGCATGGTGTGCAATCCACTAAGTTCTACATCCGTATGTGCAAATACAATAAATACAGCTTTCATAGCTTTAGCAGATGTCCTTTAGAGTCAGTAAGCAGTCCACAGGTGATCTGGTTTGCGTCGGAAAGCACAGAAAAACACTAGGGTCATGTTTTCAAAGTCTTGCTTTGCAATCTCTCTGTATGAGGCCTACTGTATGTGTTGAGAACATTATGACCACTAAAAATGACAGATTGCTCTTAAAACCATTGGCAGCAGTGTGTTACTTTCCTGTTTTCACCATGTTTTTTTTAATGGCCTCCTTTACATGGGCCGTACAGCCCAGTTGGTTTCATGAGCTGTGAGGACCCCAGCTCGGCTGATTTGACCTGTTATATAGACAGTAGCAGGCACTGTGTTTATCTTAGCAGGCTGCCAGAGTTCACATTGTGTTGCCCGCTGATCCATCTTCTTGCTTACAGAAACTGGCAGCTGGCGTGGACCAGTTCGCCTACACCTGCATACAAGACCATCCCATCTGGACTAATCAGCAATTCTGGGAGGCCACCTTCTACTCTGAGGTGCAAAACCAGATCAGAGCGCTTTACCTCACCGCCCCTGAGGAAAAACAACTCATCACCACCAAGATCAAGGTAAAGTCTTGAAATCGACTGTTTTGTTTGACTAGTCCCTACATTTATGAAATACGATTTATTTCAAAAATGTTAAATGCAATTAATTTAATGCAATGATATGAATACACATATTCTGTTTTTAATTTCTGAACTAAATGTTATTTTAAATTGTATTTTTAAATATATATTTTCAATTTAAATTTTGTCTTAAAATCTCAGATAATTTCACCTTTCAAGACAAGACCAGGTTAGCTTTTTAAAGGGATAGTTCACCCAAAAATGACAATTTGATGTTTATCTACTTACCCCCAGGGCATCCAAGATGTAGGTGACTTTGTTTCTTCAGTAGAACACATATGAAGATTTTTAAGTCCAACCGTTGCAGTCTATCAGTCGTATAATGCATGGCAATGGTAACAAAATCTATGAGAGTAAAAAAAACATGCACAGACAAATCCAAAACGACAATCAAAATGTCTTCTACTCATTCAAGGGCATCAGTTTTAACTCCACGTCTCCTGCCCGCCATTAAACACTTTCATGTAGTCTGATCAAATAGATTCCCCCCTGGAATGCAACATTTTGACATGTGCTCTGTTGTCAAGGCTGTACAGTTGGAAGAGGTCAAACTGACCCCCTCACATCTGCTGTTGGAGAACCAGCAAATCTGCACACATCCACCCCCATCTGCTGCCAGTCACAACCATGTTGAAGACAAATAATACTACTCTGGCAGTGCATTCCTGGTCCGCATCCTACAATAACAACTGCACTGATTCTTCTGCTGCATTTCTTGCCACTTTTTCACTCAGCTCCATCTGTATGTCAGCATTGAGGAAATGGGGTCTAGACAGCCTCAGAATATCTGCAAGTTCTCAAAGCTTCAACCTGGCCATCTTTAGCTATATCTGCTAGAATTATGGATGAGCTGGATTTATCAGCACAGCTTGACGTGGACAAGTCGGTATTATAGGGTCTCCTGGTGTTGAAATACATATTAGACATTCCAGACTACATAGGGAAAGATCAACTGTCCAAACAAACCTTGACATTAATGTCTTTGCTGGTACTTTCCCAGTGATAGAGAGTGGGAAAATTCATATATGTCAAAATGAAACAGCCTTCAGATATACAGGGATTATACATGATTGGGTTTGGATTTATTGAAACAGCAAAAGGAGCTTTCCAAGTGCCTCTGCTGATGTGATCTTGAAGCCATTCGCTTTCAGAGGTTGTGTCCCAGTTTGCGTGCTGTCTATTGTAAATAGTATGCACTGGTTGGAGCTGATACACGACCACAATAAACAAAGCAGCTACCATCTTCCTGAACCATCTTTATCTCAAGGGTTTAGAATAGCAGTGATTTGCAGTGAAAAAGCATCAAGAAGTCTCTTTTTTTTTTTTTCAACAAACGTTTGTGATTTGAGGTGGCCTGAATGACAGATAATGCTGGACAGGGATGCAACAAGTTTGCATTTAGTACACCTCACTTCATGTAATGTAACTTCTGTAAGTTTAGATGGTGTACTGTTTCAAATCCATCCATGCATTCTTGTTCATATATCATTACCTACAACTTGTTGTGATATAGTAGAGGAGTTTGATGGTTCTCTTACGACATTGTTTATTAATAGTGGGAAAGTCATGGCCTAATGGTTAGAGAGTCGGACTCATAACCCAAAGGTTGCGGGTTCGAGTCTCGTACCGGCAGGGATTGTAGGTGGGGGGAGTGAATGTACAGCGCTCTCTCCCACCTTCAATACCACGACTGAGGTGCCCTTGAGCAAGGCACCGAACCCCCAACTGCTCCCCGGGCGCCGCAGCAAAAATGGCTGCCCACTGCTCTGGGTGTGTGTTCACGGTGTGTGTGTGTTCACTGCTGTGTGTGTGCACTAAGGATGGGTTAAATGCAGAGCACCACATGTCACGTCACGTCACTAATAGCAAATAGCAGTGAGACCAAATCAGCCCCAGCAGTTTTTAATGCATGCAAAGGAATTGCATCAAACACACACAGTATGCAACAGAGGTTTGTGGAATTAAATATGTCCCAACACTAGCATATTGTCTTTCTACATCCTCAAATGTATGTACTTTTTATCACCAGTGAAGCACATACTTTTAGTGCCTAGTAAAGTATGCTAATTGGGACACAGCCAGAATCTGTTCTTGCTTATTACGATGTTTGCCTCCGTCTTTCCATTGCTGCTGATTTTTCTCTTTCCCTCTTTCCATCTGCCGTTTCACTTGTGATTGTGGTTTGGTTAGCTGTAAGGAAACTAAGTAGCAAAGACAGTTTGTCATAACGTATATTCAGGGGTTTTGAGAAGAAGACATTAGATGGTAATTTAATCGGAGGTGTGAGGTGTACAGACCAATGGAAGGTGAGAAAAACGTCATGCATGGTGTGCAATCCACTAAGTTCTACATCCGTATGTGCAAATACAATAAATACAGCTTTCATAGCTTTAGCAGATGTCCTTTAGAGTCAGTAAGCAGTCCACAGGTGATCTGGTTTGCGTCGGAAAGCACAGAAAAACACTAGGGTCATGTTTTCAAAGTCTTGCTTTGCAATCTCTCTGTATGAGGCCTACTGTATGTGTTGAGAACATTATGACCACTAAAAATGACAGATTGCTCTTAAAACCATTGGCAGCAGTGTGTTACTTTCCTGTTTTCACCATGTTTTTTTTAATGGCCTCCTTTACATGGGCCGTACAGCCCAGTTGGTTTCATGAGCTGTGAGGACCCCAGCTCGGCTGATTTGACCTGTTATATAGACAGTAGCAGGCACTGTGTTTATCTTAGCAGGCTGCCAGAGTTCACATTGTGTTGCCCGCTGATCCATCTTCTTGCTTACAGAAACTGGCAGCTGGCGTGGACCAGTTCGCCTACACCTGCATACAAGACCATCCCATCTGGACTAATCAGCAATTCTGGGAGGCCACCTTCTACTCTGAGGTGCAAAACCAGATCAGAGTGCTTTACCTCACCGCCCCTGAGGAAAAACAACTCATCACCGCCAAGATCAAGGTAAAGTCTTGAAATCGACTTTTTTGTTTGACTAGTCCCTACATTTATGAAATACGATTTATTTCAAAAATGTTAAATGCAATTAATTTAATGCAATGATATGAATACACATATTCTGTTTTTAATTTCTGAACTAAATGTTATTTTAAATTGTATTTTTAAATATATATTTTCAATTTAAATTTTGTCTTAAAATCTCAGATAATTTCACCTTTCAAGACAAGACCAGGTTAGCTTTTTAAAGGGATAGTTCACCCAAAAATTACAATTTGATGTTTATCTGCTTACCCCCAGGGCATCCAAGATGTAGGTGACTTTGTTTCTTCAGTAGAACACATATGAAGATTTTTAAGTCCAACCGTTGCAGTCTATCAGTCGTATAATGCATGGCAATGGTAACAAAATCTATGAGAGTAAAAAAAACATGCACAGACAAATCCAAATTAAACCCTGCAGCTCGTGACGACACATTGATGTCCTAAGACACGAAACGATCGGTTTGTGCCAGAAACCGAACAGAATTTATATCATATTTTACCTCTAATACACCACTATGTCCAACTGTCTTTGGGCGCGCGCACGGCATCCGGTGTACACTGATTAATAAAGGTCGTCACTCAGAATTCTCTGCACGATCAAGGAGAACCCACATAGAGGTCAGTGATCATGTATGACGGAGATTCAGTACAGATTAAAGATGCAGCAGCCCATATAATGTGAAGGATTATGAGGATGGAACGAAATAAACTCAAAAGGAACCGGGTGAAAGAAATGTACACTTTGTCAAAAGACTTAATAGTAACTCATTATAGCAGAGATGTGGGTGAATATTTTGTGCTCAAATGAGATCTGAAATCTGAGCAAATGAATGCTGCCCCCAACTCATAAACACAGTAAATATAGTAAAATATGTGGGCTATGTGCATTTAAAATTATAGTGCATAATATTAAGTAAAACATAATATTTTTTGCCAATTATAAAACTTAGCCTACAGTATAAATCATTATGTGTGTTTAGATGTGGCTGCTTTATTCAGTGTCTGGAGGATCTGGAGATAAACCACTGAAATCAATTACAGCTTTAATAATGGAGTTTGTGAAGAAGAACATTTTGTGGCACTATTTGAAAACTGTTGAACCCGTTTCAGGAAATGTACACTTTGTCAAAAGACTTAATAGTAACTCATTATAGCAGAGATGTGGGAGAATATTTTGTGCTCAAATGAGATCTGAAATCTGAGCAAATGAATGCTGCCCCCAACTCATAAACACAGTAAATATAGTGAAATATGTGGGCTATGTGCATTTAAAATTATAGTGCATAATATTAAGTAAAACATAATATTTTTTGCCAATTATAAAACTTAGCCTACAGTATAAATCATTATGTGTGTTTAGATGTGGCTGCTTTATTCAGTGTCTGGAGGATCTGGAGATAAACCACTGAAATCAATTACAGCTTTAATAATGGAGTTTGTGAAGAAGAACATTTTGTGGCACTATTTGAAAACTGTTGAACCCGTTTCATTTGACTAACTTGGAGCTAATCTGAGCAGAAGAGTCAGCCAAAGTGTTCAAATCGGAGATCATTTTGCCAAAGGTGGTTCTTAAAACTATAAAAATGCTTATGCAAACAGCTTATTTCAAGCACAGTTTGCTTTATACCATTATATAATCATTTGAAAATAATTCAAATCGGTTTCATTGCTTTGAAATAAAAATGTCACAGAGAAGCAAAATTTCAATGTGTCATTTGTAGTCCTGTAAAGTAAGAGAACTGGTTATGGCTCTAACCACTTTTGCAGGTCAGTGTTGCTCCAGTACGTCTGGCATACATCAGATCAGTTCAAATGGAAAAGACGCACAGCAGGGTCTGAAGGTTGTCCTTTCACCTTGGTTACGAAACACACATTCCAATATAAATCAGCTTGATTGTTTCTCAGCGTCTTCAGCAGAAAACTATACAGTTGATTCAGTCAGTGAGCAAGAATGTAAATAGAAGTAGCCTGCTGTAGTTCCTCAAGAGTCCTATCCAGTTATACACCACATCCTTCTCAGCCCCTCCGGTAGCCGGAGTGCTGCTCTGCTTCAACAGAACCATGAAGTGAAGGGAGCACTCAGCCATAACCAAAAAAAGATGGAGGGATCGGGATGTAGAGCTTTGTAGTAATAATAATATGTGTGAGTTTTGGGAGGCTTCATAGTCAAAACAGGTGATGTTTGGCCAAATGCATGTCTCTAGAGTTGATCTTTCCCTCCTCCTGTCCTTTTCTTTTCCTCTCAGAAAATGTTCAAGGCCAATAACTGCACACTGAGAGTTTTAAGTGCTAGTCTCAGATGTCACATGTTTTCTTTCCCCTCACTAATTTTTAATTAGTGGTGTTTGATATGGCAAGCATAACATTTTAGTTTCACTTGCACCTAGGATTAGGCAATTTTGTAAATGACTCCTCAAATTATGTCTTTTGTTGAGAAGTATGCTATTACTTTACTAAGTGATAGGACTTACCATTTTCACCTGCCAGACAATAAAATAGGAAAAAATCCTTTAAGGCAGGAATTCGCTAACTTTTTTTGTCAGCCAAACTGCTGAGACATAAAATATTTATTTGAAATAAGAGATTTGAATTTAATATTTCAACACATAGGCATTTTCACTGTTCTCTGATGTTGATCATATAAAAAAAAAATTATATTATTTATTTATTAGAAGTAGAAGTAGTGTTTTAACTGTAATTATAACATAAAGACTGTAAAGACAGTTCAGCATCACTTTGCTGATAATGAAATTGGGTCACGCTCATTGTACGAGAGCTGGAGCTGAAAACAGACAACGGATGTATACTTTTGGCTTTTGGAAGAACCCGAGATTTGGGGTTTTGACCCAGATCCATGTACGGTTCTGCAAGAGTGAACACAACTCAGATTTTCTTAATAAAATGTAATAATCTCATTATATTATTTATTTATTAGAAGTAGAAGTAGTGTTTTAACTGTAATTATAACAAAGACTGTAAAGACAGTTCAGCATCACTTTGCTGATAATGAAATTGGGTCACGCTCATTGTACGAGAGCTGGAGCTGAAAACAGACAACGGATGTATACTTTTGGCTTTTGGAAGAACCCGAGATTTGGGGTTTTGACCCAGATCCATGTACGGTTCTGCAAGAGTGAACACAACTCAGATTTTCTTAATAAAATGTAATAATCTCATTCAATTTGTTAATGAAAAGTTCTTCTGCAAAAGTTGCATTTATTGGGGAAAATCCGTATTGCCTAGTTTTACTATAGACTTGATTTATTTTCTGCCTGAAATGTCAGGAACTACTCTCTCTATTTGTAAACAGAATTAGGGAATTACATCACTTTTCCACCAGCACAATGTGCACTAAGACCAGGAGATATCAGAGCCGTCTGCTTCCTAACCGTGGTATTTCAGACCAATTGTGTGCAACAGACTAAACAGACATTGAATTGTGATGGGTCGGTAAACTAAAGTAGCAGAGTTTCATCAAAGCTTTTAAAATAGCTCTGTGTTATTTTAAGAATATTGAGAGTAACATTGCTGTTGTTGGTTGTGTTGTGTTGTGTTTAAGTCTGCAATATAACTAGTGTTGTGCAATAAACAGTATTGCAGGGAGTGTGGCCGAGAGCTTTGACACTGAGAGCGGATTTGAAGACTCTGAGACCAGTGATGTTGCCAACTCTGTGGGGAGATTCATCTCTCGTTTCATTGACAAAGTGTGCACAGAGAGTGGAGTGACACAGGATCATATCAAGAGTCTGCATAGTATGATTCCAGGTAAAACACTGTGTGCACACTCACTCAACACAGAGTGTTTATACCTTTATTACACCTGTCTAAGTACTGAAACATTTTGACAGCTGTACACAGACATGAACTTGCGTAATATATATATATATATATATATATATATATATATATATATATATATATATATATATATATATATTTGTATAAGTGTAGGTGTATGTTTTCAAAGGTTGTAAGTGCTCACCATTTTTACTAGTTGATTTCAGTAGTCCTCTCTTGTGAGAAATTAATTTATTGCTTCACAAATACTCTTTGTGGTCAGAACTGCATGGAAAATAATTATTGTACATTATTTAAAAAATCCAATTCAAAGTAGATGGACTCACTCTGAAGGACAATTCAATATATTAAGTGGTTTTGGTAGGAAAATGAAACTGAAATGGATAGTACTGTGACCCAGTGACCCTAACCTGTCCACAAAGTTTCCTGAATCAGGTATTTATCTGTTTCTTCAGGTCTTGTGGCAATGCAGATGGAGACTTTAGAAACGGTTCACAGAGAAAGCAGAAGACTGCCTCCCATTCAGAAGGTAAGAACTTGCTCTCCACTAGTGAAAGCTATTTCAAAGCTTGTATGTCATTGGGTTTGTTGTGCTACCATTTTGGCAGAATTATTAAAGTAGCGGCACTCACTTAAGAGTTTGTTCTTTTAATGAATTGGTCAAAATGACTCAAGAGTCAAACATTAATGGATTAAATCATTCTAACGACTCTTCAACTGAAAGGAACAGTTCACCCAAAAATGTAAATTTGCTGAAACTTTACTCACCCTCAGGCCATCCAAGATGTAGATGAGCTTGTTTCTTAATCACAACAAATTTAGAGAAATGTAGTATTACCAAAGTCCCTTTAAGGCAAGTCGTGTCACTCAGCGGCCATCTTTGGAACACCTCTCAAGTGCAGCTCCTATCTCTTTGAATGGGGAAACCTCAAATTCTCCAAAACTGTTCGCCAAGCTTACGATAAAATTTCATATTTGAAATCACCAATGAAATCTGACAACTATCATAAACGTTGTTTATTTTGCTCAAATAGCGTTATTTTTCAGGCTAGACCAGCCAGTGCGCATGTGCAGTCCTAGGCGCATGTCTCAGAACGCTTACTGTTTCTATAGCAACTAGAACTTCTACAGTGACGCGCTGATTTTACCGATTAGGGATTGGCTCTTTTGCTCAGAAGGCGGGGCTTCATTAGATAGAGTGGCCATATTGAGTGTTGCATTTTTCCCCATTCAAAACTATACGAGTGACATGTCTTGGGTATTCTATATTCTTTGGTATTACATCACTTGTTCACCAATAGATTCTCTGCAGTGAATGGGTGCCATCAGAATGAGAGTCTAAACAGCTGATAAAAACATCAAAATAATCCAAAAGTAATCCAAGTACACATGGAGACGCATTTAGCTGTATAAGGAACATTTTTGTATCGTATCGGCGTTTCGTCCAGACAGATCTGGCATTTTGGGAGCCTGAAACTGCTATTTTTTGAAACCGCGTCCCAGAGTGAATGAATCTGAAAACGACACCCTTGCTTTTCGTGTGTACAGCCAATCTGTATATTTTGTGAAACGATGATGTCATCACCCCACGTGTATACAGCGCGCAAGGTTTATGCGCATGCTTCAAGTCTTGTTCGCCGTTTTTAGTGTATCTCTGTGACAGAATTACAGCGCCACATACTGGTCTGGCATGTATACTACATTGTTTTGAGTCGGTTTCAGTGGTTTTGTGTGTATGCAGATATTTTTGAGAAGACGCCGTGTTTACGGATTTCTTTTTAGAACGAAGAAAAAAAGATTGGATCGGGAAAGCTGGCTTCATGTGGATGAGCCCCAAGTAACTGCAGTCTGTCAATTAATGTCTTGTGAAGTGAAAAGCTGCATGTTTGTGTGAAATCAATCCATCAAGATGTTTTTTTTTACTTCAAACTGTTGATTCCAGCTAAAATAGAAGTCCCCTATACATAATATTGCTTTTCCCAGTCATCTCGTCTGAATCAGGAGAGAAATACGCACAGATCAAGTATTGCTTACAAGCAAATACTGTCCAAATCAGTTCTTAACAAATATGATTAACAGGGGATGATGTTTGTGAAACTTGCTGACTAGTTCTTCATGAGATGATGTGTAGTTAAAGATGCACATTTTTGCAACAGTTTTTTGTATTTTAAAACATTAAAATGCATCAAAATTGAACCGATATAGTATTGTTTATACAAACTTTGCAGTAAATACTGCCTGACTTCAGTGAAAAACCTAAAATCGTGTGTAGTCAAAGCTTATGATAAATGGAGACACTTCTAAGCTGCTTTGGTTGAATAGGGAATTCTAGCCTGGATAAAGTCCTGGTTTCTGTACAGGACCAAGTTTGTTTTTCGGAAGAAAAAGAAACCATGGTAGATTGTTTATTAGTGTGCAAATCCAGAGAAGTAACTGATGGAGAACCCAACTGGCATCCCCAGTGTGAGGTGGACTGTTCTTCTAATACCGCAGATTTCCACATAACAAATACTTGCTGTAGTTCCCAATTTTTTTTATTTTTTTTTATCGGCTCCGTTTAAGTTCTTGTCACCCTTCTGGATCCAACTAATGAGCTAGATAATGACACCAGGACAGGGCCAGGACAGAACATGCTTTTTGGACCATGTAAAATTTGATGGTTTGTGTCTCTGGTAGTAAACAGACAAGGCTTGAGTGTGATTACTGTGCCTGGAACTAAACCTAATAAATGATGCTTACTCCATCATAAAGAGAATCGTTTGTTGTCTGTCAAAAAGCAGACCACAAAGACTTGGCTTTTTTTCTGGTCCAAACTGAATAACAGTGTAATCTTATATTTCTGTTTAGGAGAAAGATAGTGAACATAATCATGTCCGTACCAAAGCATTTGCTCCTGGTCTTCAGCAGACTCTAATGACAATAATTTTTCCCAGCCCAAGATCCTGCGGCCTGCCCTGCTACCCGGAGAGGAGCTGGTGTCCGAGGGGTTACGGGTGGTCTTAGACCCTGACGGTCGAGAAGAGGCCACCGGCGGGCTTCTGGGAGGGCCACACATCCTGCCAGCAGAGGGAGCACTCTTCCTCACCACTTACCGTATCGTTTTCAAAGGCACTCCTCATGACCCACTAGGTAAAGACAATTTTGTGACTTTACGGAATTCTTTCTTGAATTTTGTGATCTATTTTCCCGAATATCAGAATGATTGCATATGTGACACTGATTTTATACAACAGTTCAATCAGCAGGTAGTTAATATTAGACATTTTAGAAACAATATTGTCTGCTGAAAATAGTTCCAAACAAAGATTTCAACAGAACAGTTGTGCATCATTTAGAAACCCACAGTGTTTTGTTACTAAATGATTCAGTGTTATTTAACTAATCAGGTGGTCAATGATTCAATGACCCATACGTATAGAATGCTATTTGCTTCATTCTGAATCAGCTGTTTTAACGAATCATTTGAAAGAATGACTCATTAGCCGCATTTCCACTGTCGGGCCAGTGCTTTAGACAGGCCAGTCGGGGCCAATAGCCTCGGACCTGTAGCACCGAGCCCAAAATCACAATGCGTTTCCACCGTCGGGGCCAGAAGCTCCGCTGCACTTCACTAAAACCCGCCCTTTACACGCCTCTCTGGAACAACGTCACACAACCCCATCATTTCACCAACAAAGAGAAATTATCAGAAAACTAAGAAATAAGTCACTGGAACTATTGCGATCACAACAACGAACATGACAAAAACAGCCGTTTGTTTGCATGTTTTGTTAAAGATTTAAATCCAAAAGCATCAATGTTTTACAATAATAAGTGATACATCGATCATAATGAATTAATTTATCAGGATTGAAAATTAGTCACACAGAAATAAAGTGGTATGAACTACTATTTCACAAAAGAAAGAGGACAAATACCCTACTTATTCAGTTGAGTCTGTTTCTGTTTATTTGTAGTCACAGTAGCTATACATCACATTTAGAAAGAATGATTATTTCTATATTTCTTTCTCCATCAAAAATACGACCTGATTAGCGGAGGGAGCTCCCGAACAGAAACCATTATTATATTTTTATGACATACGTAGTGGAGCGTAGACAAGACAAGACTTATGACAGATAAAATATGTTACTAAATAAATACACGATTGTGATAGAAAATGAGAAGCTGACGTCTGATTTCTTCAAGTGGTCGTATTTACCATGTTTACTATGGTAACGTTAATGCCTAGCGTGCATAGTCTTTTGCATCGCTTATAAATATTTCTGCCTTGTATGGTGATCATAATCCACATCGGATCAGGTTAATTCAAACACTCGCTGCTATCTGAAAGTGAGTTTTAAGCTAAAATCAAAAAGCCACAGCCATATCACCCTGCAGCCCAAGACTGGTTGCCCACTGAAGCTAAGCAGGGTTGAGCCTGGTCAGTACCTGGATGGGAGAACTCCTGGGAAAACTAGGTTGCTGCTGGAAGAAGTGTTAGTGAGGCCAGCAGGGGTGCTCACCCTGTGGTCTGTGTGGGTCCTAATGCCCCAGTATAGTGACGGGGACACTATACTGTCAAAAAACACCGTCCTTCGGATGAGACGTTAAACCGAGGTCCTGACTCTCTGTGGTCATTAAAAATCCCATGGCAATTCTCGTAAAGAGTAGGGGTGTAACCCCGGTGTCCTGGCCAAATTGCCTCCCTGGCCTTTGTCAATCATAGCCTCCTATAATCTCCAACCACTTGATTGGCTCTATGACTGTCTCTCTCCAGCTGTAGCTGGTGTGTGGTGAGCGCACTGGCGCCGTTGTACTGTGGCTGCCGTCACATCATCCAAGTTGATGCTGCACACTGGTGGTTGTTGTGGAGAGATCCCCCCCACATGATTGTTAAGTGCTTTGGGTGTACAACAATACACAATAAAGCGCTATATAAATGCATCATTCATTCATTCAAAATAATTTTTAAAGTCTTTAATGCTGGTGTTATAGCTGTTAACTTTATAAAATGATCCACGGCGCTGACGCTCTCCAGACGTGGAGAAACTCCACCTTTGTTCATAACCACTCCTCTAGCCCCAGTTGGCCCGCTTTGGCCCAAGGTTTTCGTCAGGCCAAAAAACCCTGCCTGTTGGCCCCGAGGAAGCACTGACGAGGCACGATCAAGTCCCGAAAGTGACAGTGGAAACACGACTGGCCCTGGCACGCACTAGCACGCCCGCTTTTGGCCCGACAGTGGAAACACGGCTATTGACTGACTTAAGAAAGTCACTTGCCACCACCTACTGGTGGTGTAGTTTCATATGTAAAAGTATCATTGCGTTTTTACCAACATTCCATATTAGTACATTTAAAAAAATATTATTTGAAACATGAATCTTGTAACTTTATGTATGCATTCATGGTACCTCTGAGCTTCATAGACTGCATCGCATACATTTAGTGTGTGCATGTTCTGGTTAACTGGACTTTCAATGGAGGAACAGAAACACTCTCAGGTTTCATTAAAAATATCTTAGTTTTTGTTAGATTAGCCTAAGTCTTTTGGGTTTGGAACAACAATTTTAGGATGATCCTTTTAACAATGCCCAGGCCATATATGCATTTATGCACATTCAAACTTGCCGCCACAAACCGCATCACACCAGGTTTGACGTCAAACCAAGTTTGTTCAAAATGCATTTGAATCTTTTTAATTGAATTCATATGGGATTGCAACAACAAAGCACGAGTAGGTGGTGAAAGAACTTTGTTTGAAAGAGGTTAGAGAGTTTACTGTTCTATATTTAGATAGTTTTACCCTGCTGTAATGATGTGTTTATGTTTGTGTCTGTGTGTGCGCAGTTGGCGAACAGGCCGTAATCAGGAGTTTTCCAGTATCCACTTTAACCAAGGAGAAAAAAATCACCATTCAGAACCAGCTACAGCAAAACATGCAGGAGGGGCTTCAGCTAAGATCCGCCTCCTTCCAGGTATTGACACACAGAACACGCAGCCAGTAAATAGATAGTGTTTTTGTTCATGTATTTTTATTTGAAATACAAATGTTTGCATATTTCCCAATAGTTCTTCTTAACCCTTGACATGACAAAGCTTACCCCTAACACGGGGCAAGTTAATTTTAAGTGTTTAGCTTTCCTAATTGCCTTTATTTTGGTTTTGATCCTACAACTTCTCTGTTGTGCCTCACCGTCTCAGTTTTTATCAGAAAGTCAATCCGATTTCAGTGAACCAGATGCAATCTATTGTAAAGCACTTTTTCATTAGAGCACTTATTTAGAAAAGCCTCTTTAGGAATAATTTGATTAAACTGATGTTTGCTGAAGAGGAATGTGCACGTTTCAGACGTCTCTCTCTGTTTGACTCATCACGAAGTCTCTTCATGTATGAGGACAGAGCAAGAGAAGCACATGTTGTGTTCTTCACTATGCATGGACTATAGGGCCATAAAGATTTTATGGCTCATTCCTATCGTTTACTAACTTAAGCTATAAAATCAGGCCCTGTATGGAAGCAAGGGTCATTTGTGCTGGTCTGCCCACGTGTGGCTGCCAACAGTTGGTGTCTGGGGTACATTATCAGGCGCTCATTAAGACCTGCAGTCCACGCGAGAGTTAAGGTCAGACCCCTGAGGAGCTGTGATAGAGGAGTGCTGGAGAGGTGGATAGGGGATATGGGGTCACGCAGACAAGCATTTGTGCGGCCAAACCTCATTTTGGAATGTTCTCCCCAGAAAAGTGGGAAAAGATCTTGTTCCATACTGCTATCCAGCTCAGAGCACTTCTGCAAGTCATTTCTCTTGCCCCCCAAAAGTTTAAAATGATTATTTGCAGATTTTCTTGCTTCATGAAGGTGTGGCAGCTCTATTAATTACATCACTCTGGTATAATATGGTAGTTGGACAACTGGTGTGACTGTATGTCCTGCTTTGTTTTAGCTAATTAAAGTGGCGTTTGATGAGGAGGTGAGCTCTGAGATGGTAGAGATCTTCAGGAAACACCTGCAACGGATCCGCTACCCACCATCCATCTTCAGCACCTTTGCCTTTGCAGCAGGACAGACAGCACCACAGCTCATATTACCCAAGCAGAAAGAGAGAAACACGGGCTTCCGGTCAGTGCAATGTTTTACAGCGCGGACATAATGGAAATTTAGGATTTAGTGTTGAGTTGGGTTGTTCCTTTTATTGCTATTGTTGAGGCTGCAACAACAACATTCCAGCAATGCTTAACCCAAAACCTTTGATTGTATAATTATTTACCTACCCTCATTTCAATTCAAACTCATATGATTTTCTTTCTCCAGTGGAAATGGAGGTGAAAGAGGACTGAGGTTATCAAGCTTTAAAAAGGATGCACCATAAAATTAGTCCATGCTAATCTGCACTATATTCCAAGTCTTCAGAAGGCACTTCTTTCCATCATCACAATATCTTGAGTCAAGCTCAATTTGAGAACTAGATCAGTCCAATTCATAAATAAACCATTCAGACTAGTTTTGCAAACTGTATAATAACAGATTCATTAATTTCAAAATCAGGCTCAAAAGAATGTCACATTAATTAATTAGACATCACTACTTATTTAATGAATTATTTTGAAAACTAATATGGATGTTTTCTTACACAAATGCATCGATACGCTAAGCCATGTGGAGCACCTTTTATGATGGATGGATGCACTTTTTTGGCCTTCAAAATCTCAACCACCATTCACTTCCATTATAGAGCTTGGAAGAGCCAGGATATTTTTTAATATAACTCTGATTGTATTCGTCTGAACGATGAAAGTCATGTACACCTAGGATGGCTTGAGGTAGAGTAAATCATGGGATAATTTTCATTTTTGGATGAACAATCTCTTGAATTTTCCATCAGTTCTTCACACAAAGCTGTTGTATGGCTTCAGCAGACTCGGAATATAGCACACACGTCATATGGACTTCTTTAATTATATTTTTCTGTCATTTTTGGAGCTTGACCCCAGTGCTTATTCACTTTCATTATATTTAAAAGAGTGGCCAAGATGTTGTTAAATTGTCCTTTTGTGTTCCATGGAAGAAAGTAAGTCATAAAGCTTTGGAACAAAATGAGGGTGAGCAAATAATGACAGAATTTTGGATGTATTGTTCAATTAAATGAAAATCTGTTTCTTGTAGAACACTATCGAAGACCATTGTGAAAGGGGCTAAAAGGGCAGGCAAGATCACAATGGGCCGCCAGTCCACTATGAAGAAAAACGAAAAGGGCAGTCGCATGACGTGGCATGAGGATGATGACATCTCCAGTAAGTATATTTCACAATGTCAGAAAAATATTCTATGTCAGCAGTCATGGCAATTCAGCTGTGGGATGTTAATGTTTCAGTCTCAGATGATGGTGAGCCCCCCACCAGCAGCACACTGAAGGCCTCAGAGAAGTCCACTATGGAGCAGTTAGTGGAGCGAGCCTGTTTCCGTGACTATCAGAGGCTGGGCTTGGGTACCATTAGCGCTAGTTCCACACGGTCTAAAAGCGGAGAGCAGTTTCGTGTTACGGCAGTCAACAGGCTCTACTCGTTGTGTCGCAGGCAAGTTGTAACCCAAGACCTTGACTTTGTTCAAAAACCTAGTGAGCAGTATTGCTGCCTACAACTCTGCAAACTGCATAGTGCTCTTCACTCCACTTTTGTGTGCAATGCTCACATCTGAAAATTCAAGCAACAGCCAACTGTTTTGCTCGGATGTACAGTGGTGTGAAAACGTGTTGGCCCCCTTCCTGATTTCTTATTTTTTTGCATGTTTGTCACACTTTAATGTTTTAGATCATCAAACAAATTTAAATATTAGTCAAAGATAACACAAGTAAACACAACATGCAGTTTTTAAATGAAGGTTTTTATTATTAAGTATCATTTAATTGATGCATTAAGTATCAGTTACACCTTTCTACAAGGTGTGTTTGAACTCAGAATCTGACGTATCCCTGAAGGCTTTGATCTGTTGAATATACATGCAAAGTGTTCCATAAAATCCTCAATATGGAAGAAAGGCTCTGTTGATACTTCCATTTCATTTCAACTTTTAAGTGCTCTCAATGTATATAGGTGGGTAGCTCACTAGGTTTTAGAACAGAGTCCCTATAAAAAACAATGACAGAAATTGAAATCCTTTTTCGAAGGAATCCCTCCACTATGTAGCGTCTGGACCACTCCAACACACAATATATATTTTGTTAGCTAGATTTCACAAATACTTTGTAACACCCCAGGACGCCGAACAAGACCCTGGTTTCATGGTAACCCGATACATTTACAACCTTGTGGAATGCGAGCCGGCTCTCATTCTGCTTTCTCCAGAAACAAGGGGTACAAATGCACAGGAGAAATGGACTGTTCTACTAATTAATTCATAGGAAAACCTTCTTTGAATGAACACCCATTTTCTTCAGGCCATTGTGTATATTATTGCTGTGTTGTATTTAATCTGTTGTATTATAGACTATTTTTGTTCATGCTTACGATAAACCACTCATTCATATAAGTAAATCTACCATGTCTAGTATCTATGAATTCGTCTTCGGATGATCTAACTGAGAGTGCATATTACATGCTGATACCTCTGCAACATATGGATGTTCTAAGAATCGTTACTGGTTTCTGCATCAACACTCAAGTGAATTACATATGCAAAATACCATGCTTGGAGACAAAGGGCCATAAAAACGCAGAACTCCCACTTGAGATTCCGGACTTCCCCATTGGGCAAGCCCATCTTGAGAGGCGTGAATCTCTGCAGGCTTTAAAGGCCACACTTCAAGAGACCCGCCCCAGTCGGTGGTTCGGTCTTAAGCTAAGAAGATGTGAAAAAACGCTTCAGGATATCAAAGATTGTGCCAGGCCTTTCGGCCTAGTCCTTTCCATTCATCAAGTGACTCTGACTCAAACTGGTCCTTTCTCATCAACCAACTTCAGCAAGATCTTGGGGCCGTAAGATCGCATCAGGAATCTTTGTTCATACAGACGTGCAAGTATCAAACTTAGTCGATTTAATTGATGCATTAAGTATCAGTTACACCTTTCTACAAGGTGTGTTTGAACTCAGAATCTGACGTATCCCTGAAGGCTTTGATCTGTTGAATATACATGCAAAGTGTTCCATAAAATCCATTCTTTATGCCTCTTTCTATGCTGAGTTAAACTTTAACCCTCTCCTATACCAACTGTATGTGTGTGTGTGTGGGTGTGTATGTGTATGTTAGACCGGCTTAATGTGTTTATGTAGTATGTTAGACTAGTTTAAGTGTTTATGTAGTTAATAAAACCTTACTTGTATCACACTTGACGTGTTCATTGTTTACTCATAACCGGAGTCAATAATCATGCAGATTTACGTTACAAACTTATAGAATTGTACAGTAAGAAAGTTATTTCCTTTAACCAGGAAATTAACGTTCTTAGAATTGACAAGACGGTTGACCCTGAGTGGTCAGCTAAATATCTACAGTGGATCTAAAATATGAATAGTTAATTATAACTAGTTATGGTTAATTATTCATATTTCCCCATGAGCTGATTCGCTACAACTACAACTGCTGAATCATAAGTGTTTTTCTAAATGGTGATACTATTCGGTTTACAGTTACCCGGGTCTCCTGGTGGTGCCTCAAACTGTTCAGGACAGCAGCCTCCATAAGGTATCCCGCTGCTACCGGCACAACCGTCTGCCAGTCGTGTGTTGGAAACACCCTCGCACCAAAGCGGTTTTACTTCGTTCAGGTGGTTTTCACAGCAAGAGTGTGGTTGGACTTTTCAAGTCTCAGAACCCTTCTTCAGCAGGTACGTTTGTGCAGTTAAATATGCATATTACATCAAGCAACCTTGGGGATGGTTTACAATCAGACAGGGCTGTAAATATTTGCTCTAAGATTATAATTCTGATAAAAGATTTGTCTCAGCCTGAGACAACATGCTATTCACTGACTATCAAATGCATGTTGCAAACTCTGGGCAGTGATTCCTTAATCTGGCATGCACTAATCTTGATTGGATGACTTCATGCAACTTTCGGGAATATAAGAACACAAGGTTTTTGTTTATAAAGTACCAGTTTGATACAACAAGCACTTTTGAAGATGAAATAATCTCTTGATTTGACAAAGGTAGATACCACAGCATTAGTTAAATCTTTTTCATGGCTGTCTATTATTTTCAGAAAAACTCGCTCCTAAACGAAACGTAAAGAAAACAAACTGTGGTGGGTCATTTTGTAATGTCTGAGTCAGTGTCTTCCTGTCGTAGGTGGTTTTTGGCCAGAATAAGCTGCAATGTGGACCAGACCTTTGGCCATTTAGTCCTGTTCTCAACATTTTTGACACGATGCCCCTGATTGTTCAACGTAATATTCTAAATATTGGTGCCATAAGATATTTCCTCTAGGATTTCTGCTGTAATTATGAAACATCTGCTTGTTTTCAAAACACTTTTTTTGTTACCAGAAACTAGGAGTATTGATGTATTTGTTTAAACATGATTTATTTTGTATGTTCCCTAGTAAGGAGGAAACTATTTCTGTTTATATCTTGATTTTGTGTGTGCATCTGTGTATGTGTTTTAATTATTTTAAAATATAATTAATTTTAATACCTACTGTGATACGCTTGGACATTTTCTTTGGCCCCCTAGTTGACTAATTTACTCAAAGGTCTGGCTTTGTGAGATTTTCAAGATAGAAACAATTGTTCTAATGATGCTCTCTTGCTGTTACCAGCTCCGACTTCCTCAGAGACCTCCAGCAGTCTGGAACAGGAGAAATACCTGCAGGCCATCCTCAGCTCCATCCCCATCTACTTCAAACCCAACAGCAACAACACCCTCACCAACCGCTCCCTCATCGGCTTGTCCCCAGGTATTGCAAAGATATCAGGTGCATCCTTCACATCCTTCAGGTGCATCTGATTCTTCGCTTTCTTGTTTAGACTTGTTTTTGCCCCTTTTTGTGTTCTTCAAGGCTCTTATCTCCTCCTGGTTTCCTCTTGGTTGCATAAAATGTTATTTATGTTTTGGACTGGTTTCCAAAGGAACTGGAGCACAATTGTGGGGTTATGTAAGGAGAGCAGGATATGACGGGGTCACCTCCCATCCATCACTCTCCTTGCACTCACTGCTCTCCACAGCCGTATTGCAGATGGCTCAGACCACACCTCCCCCGTCAGCTATGCAGTGTCGCCACCATAATGTTCCATTTATCCCCACCTGCTGGGTAAAAAGCAGCCTCCTCTCACCAGCAAATGGCTCATCTTAGTTCTGATGATAGTGCTCCATGGCAGCTTTAAGTTCTCTCAATTCAAAACAGACCTTCAGTCTTGATACCCGAGATGGGTTACAACAAGACACCAGACCGGAATCTGACTTAAGCAGTGTTGTGTCCTTAAAACATTTACTGTGTAATTAGACCCTGAAACGGATCTTTCACAGCATGCGAGCCACACCAGCATCCATAAGCTAGATTGATCCATAATAATCCATGTTTGTTATGGCCTGCAGAAATGGATTTCAGAGATGTTTACTAACTACAAGCATTAATGTCTAATGTGTTTGGTTTCAAAACCTAATGAGCTGCCTATCTAGAGAGCATTTAGGTGTCATCGCCACGCTCAAAACGCAAAGACTTTTCCAAACAACAAGTCAGCAAATATATACTGCCTTCATATCTATCTTTGGATGAGGCCATTGCAGAATACATTGGACTGTTGATTTATGTATTATGCGATTTAAATCTGTGAATCAGGTGAGGACTGATAAGTAAGTGACTTAACAGACCCACAAAGAGGATTTCAAATCAGTGTTTGGTTCCATTATGTTAGGATCATAGACCGTAGGTTTCTGAAGAGCGTTTTTGAAGCCTAAAGTAGGCGGAGCCGGCCGTCGCCATCTTGGCAGCGCGTCACTCCTGGATAATCGAAAATGGGCAAAGAGGCAGGAGCTGGTTGCTGAAACCACGCCCACCTAAAGGGGTCATATGATGCTGCTAAAAAGAACATTATTTTGTGTATTTGGTGTAATGAAATGTTTATGCGTTTTAAGGTTCAAACAACACATTATTTTACTGTACATTATTGTTTCTCCTCTATGCTCTTTGCTGCCTTTCTGAAACGCGTCGATTTTTACAAAGCACATCGGTCTGAAAAGCGAGGTGTGCTGTGATTGGCCAGCTATCCAGTGCGTTGTGATTGGCTGAATACCTCAAGCGTGTGACGGAAATGTTACGCCCCTTACCCTACTGTGATGCCCTGTCCGGCCGGAGCGACGAGACAAAAACAGCAGCAGCAATCCACCCGTCACTCAAGTGGCCACGCCCTTAACTATGCAGAACTTTAAGGCTTAATATAATTTAACGGATGAGTTATAAAAAAAAATCACCCCCCTCACAGTTGTCATGAAGGGCAAAATTAGCTATATAAATTTTTCACTTCCTCATTTTTAGTAACATTATTTTTGTCATTAGTGGTATTAACATCAACATTAATATTGTTCATACTTACGGTAAGGGATTGGAAAAAATAACTAATCGATTTTAATCCATCTTTATTTTGGTGAAGTGATATAAATTCTTAAATTCCAAAATCAATCTTTTAGACTATGCTGTTTTCTGTCGATCTGTGAACAGTAAGCTTTGTGCTCTGTTACTTTTGATATGAAACAAAGCATCAGCTTTGAAATTCTGTCAATTTTATTACGTAATTCAAACAGTAAATACCAGTTTGATGCTCTTTAATGTGTTGTGACAGACTGCATTAGACACTTCAGTTCAAGTGGCAGTGTGGAGTGCACTTAAACCGTTAAAAAAATAGTCTCTTACTCTTTACAACTAGTTATAGCACGAAATGTTAACATGAATGAATGTCAGAAGTTACTTTGAAGGAAACAGTTCAACTTAATTAAAAGTCTCCTATAATCACTCAGTTAGTGTTTGCTTTGGACTTGTAAATTAGATGTTCATTTTGACCTTTAAAATTATAGTAATGCACCAACTGACAAGGTTCTCGGTATAGTTTACAGCATAAGCTGAAAGATTATTTTCCTTAAGAGAAAACTGACTATACTGTACCTGATCATCATTTTAAAGGGGTCATATGATGTGATTTCAATTTTTCCTTTCTCTTTGGAGTGGTACAAGCTCTTGGTGCATAAAGAAGATCTGTAAAGTTGCAAAGACTAAAGTCTCAAATCCAAAGAGATATTCTTTATCAAAGTTAAGAGTCAACCACGCCTACCTAAAACGGCTCATTCTAACACGCCCCCACATGTCTACGTCACGATGTGGGAAGATTTGCATAACGCCGCCCAAATGTTCACGCAAAGAAAGAATGCGTAACTTTTATTTTCGCTGTAGGCCACCGCCATGTCGTGAAGGCGCTCTGTGTTTCGTTGTGAAAGCGAAACTACTTTGTTTGGCCTTCCAAAAGAGGACGATATCCGCTTCGTCATGCCTGGAGCTGATCTGTGCTGGTCGCTGAGGAAATACATCAACTTCACGCTGTGGATCGCCGGATTGGCTTTCACCGTGGACGAAGCAGAGTCCCATGTCGTCACATGTGGTTGCCGCAAGCCCACCGGCCGCACCATTCTCAAGCCCGCTGGCCGTTCCTCACTCTAGCCCGCGGTGTGTGACGCTGTGTGTTTCGTTGTGAAAGCGAAACCACTTTGTTTGGTCTTCCAAAAGAGGACACGACTAGAAATCAGTGGTTAAGTTGTATTTACAACACTGTTCCAGAACAGTTCAACCCAAATATTCAGATGTGTGCAACGCATTTTATGGAGGACTGTTTATTGATCCTGGTAGAGTAGACTACAATGCCAGCTGTTCTGACTCACAGACTGTAAATAAGTTTTCATATTTAAAGGATTTGCCACTGATGATTCAAACACGAGTTTTGAGCAGTGTAGAGTAGCGCTTGTTGTTTGTCATTTCTCCGATCACAAATGCAGACATGGTTTTATGTTTACGCGGCGCGATGCAACGCAACGTGAAAAAAGTCAGTATAAGTCATTATAATCCATAATTATGTCCCCACTGGATGCAACAAATGCCTCGTTTATATTGGGTTTTAATGTTTTTGTCTCGTCGCTCCGGCCGGACAGGGCATCACAGTAGGGTAAGGGGCGTAACATTTCCGTCACACGCTTGAGGTATTCAGCCAATCACAACGCACTGGATAGCTGGCCAATCACAGCACACCTCGCTTTTCAGACCGATGTGCTTTGTAAAAATCGACGCGTTTCAGAAAGGCAGCAAAGAGCATAGAGGAGAAACAATAATGTACAGTAAAATAATGTGTTGTTTGAACCTTAAAACGCATAAACATTTCATTACACCAAATACACAAAATAATGTTCTTTTTAGCAGCATCATATGACCCCTTTAACTCGTTTGAATCATTCCACACCTTCTATGTATCTTGTGCTACATGAATCATATCTCAATCTTGCTGCTTCAGTTTAGAGACTTGTCAGTGAGATCTATTGACTTGGACCTGTAAATAACCACCAAGAAAACCCTGTGAACCACATAGTGATGCCCTGGCCACCACCCACAACACCTTACCATTGTTTAAGTCAAGCACCACTCACATTTTCATTACAAAACATACAAATCTAGTTTTCCATGTATACTTCTTATATTTTTCTGTACTCTTTGATCTCCTCTTATTTATATACTCATCTCATTGACGTAATGTTCCTGTCATTCATGTAAACCTTTTGTTTGTTCTTCATTGATGCTCCATCTTTGCATACTTCACGTCACGTCTAAAAAATTCAGGTAACCAAATAGAGGTCGACCAATATTGGATTTTGCCAGTATGATAAAATATATGGGGGGGGGGGGGGGTATTGACTTCCTAATTAATCACAGATAGCTTTTAAAAGCATGTAAATCATCAAAGCTACAGGAGTTCAATGTACAGTATATGAAATCCTGTGTGCAGTCTATTGTGCAACCAAAAATCACAATAATATCTATTAAAAAGATGATATTGTACATAATTATTGTGGCCAATAATATCTGCAGTCAGCATTTGCTCACCATAAACGTCCAGTAATCTGGTATTATATTAAAACAAACATTTTTCACTTTTCAGTCAGAGTTAGCAGAACGCAATACATAAATTATTTATTTATTTAAATAATTATTACTATTTATTGAAATCTAAATAATTATATAAATGAAATCAATATTGAAAGTTTCAAAAGCCATTATTGGTACTGATTATTTGGCAAAAGCGATATATCAGTCGACCTCTAAACTTCAAATCCTAATGTTATACAGGCCTGCAGCATTTCTCTCTCTCATCTGTCTCTGTAAGCGGAGCTGCTAATGACTGTCCTGTCTGTCTTCAGAGGGGGTGATTGTTGCATGTGTGTGAATTTTATTTTCTGTTTTTATTTCCTGGTTCTCTATGCCACCACCAACTCCTGCACCTTTAATCTACCAGTACTTGGGTACAGAGATAAACTATTCACTCACTCAAACCAAAAAGCTCCAGCTAAGGGAAGAATTCACAATCAAGGTATAGTTTCTGTTTTACTCCTTCTCACTAACCTAATCCATACTTGACTTAATCCATGTTCTCAGCCTCTCTTCGACCTCTGTCCATGCCTCTGTAGTGTCTGAAAGTCATACTACAATGAGGTTACCACTGACTTTTCTGGTTTCCTGAAGTAAACTTTACTGTGGCAAGAGCACTTCTGTAGTAGTTTTTACTGGTAGGTCTGTAGTGACTGCAGTTTTGAGGTTCAGTGGTATGTTAGTGAATGTTTAGTGTGTTGTAGTTGCTGATGACAGAGCACTGAATCATCACAGCATTGACCCCGTTTACTAAGTGAACTAACATTCACGTAGTCTCAGTCAGTCAAAATTCAACTCTCCAGGACAAGTGTTAGGAAAGTGCTCAGTGAACTATATGAGAATGTGATTCCAAAGAAACATGGAAGTATGTTGCATACTATTGAGATTATTAGTTTGGTTATTGGCCAATATATATTACATGGAATAAATGCGATTTCCTGCATTTATATGATCAAAAATACAGGAAAAGACAGTGATATTGTGAAATATTATTACGATTTAAAATAATGTTTTTCTATTTTAATATATTTTAAAATGTAATTTATTGCTGTGATAAAAAAGCATCACTACTCCAGTCTTCAGTGTCACGTGATCCTTCAGAAATCATTCTAATATGCTGATTTGGTGCTCAAGAATAATTTCAATGTTGAAAACAGTTTTGCTTAGGGATGTAACGATTAACCGCGAGCCCCGGTTGAAAATCGATTTAAATATGTGACGATTCAAATCGGTTGAGATGCTAAACAAATCTCGATTCAGTTAGGGGTAGGAGTTTATATGAATGTATGTCTGAGGGGAACTTCTTTCGATGGAATTTTTTCTTTTCCTCTTGCCTCTGTATAATGCATATCAGGGCTCCAGACTCATTCTTCCCACTGGTCGCTCTTTTGCAACTAACTTTCTCAGCTGGTCGCACGAGCACATGATTTGGTCGCAATATTTTTTTTTTTGCGCTACAACATGGGATTATTTAATGCATGCTGATGAACTTTTATCATAGTTTTATCATCAGTAGTATTATTTGTGATTTTAATTTTGTGAATGGGAGTTTCTCTTTTTCTGTTAAGCTGCGGAATCCGTGTATCATTCTATCATTCGTTTTTTGATTTAATATTGAAAGTAGAAAAATGAGAAAACGGCTCCTTTTTCGTTTTTTCGTTTTTTTCCAAAAAACGAGAAACGAGAATTCAGCTTAAATTTTAGTTTTTCGTTCATGGGTGGAAAAATGAATAAACAGCTTGAATATTTGATTTCTACATGTGGGCGGGAATTAAATGCCCCTTTCTGCTGATTGGTCAGACGAAGATCAAACCGTGCCGTCATCAGTTCTTCTGCAGTATCACGCAGCAGAATAATAGTCCTCCGCTGCTGCAGTTGTATGGATTCTTAACGCATTTATTGCAACTACATTTAATATTTTTTTCATCAAACAAACAGTCAAATGAATAGCTCGACACAACTCGTACCTTGTGGGGTATTGTCTAGACAGGGCTTTCTTCTGTGTAGATATAAATTCTATTCTTTGCATCAGCTGAGCATCTTTCTGGCGCATGCCACAAACATGAACCACAGGGAATACTCGTCTTTTAAAAGGCTTAATTTAGATTATTTTACATTAAATGCATCATATAAGTCACTTTGGAATAAATCACAGTAGGCCTGTGTATCATGATTAAAAAAAACAACTTTACAGTCTAGAAATACTTTAGGCTATAGGAATATTAAGGCTATATTATTTATTGGACCCCCTATCACTTTAAGAACTGCTGGTCTACACAGAAGAAAGACCTGTCTAGACTCTGCCCCGGTACGAGTTGTGTCGAGCTATTCATTAGTCTGTTTGATGAGAAAATTATGAAATTGATAAAATGGGTTATTAATCCGTACAACTGCAGCAGCAGAGGAGTATTATTCTGCTGCGTGATACTGCAGAAGAACTGATGACGGCACGGTTTGATCTTCGGCTGACCAATCAGCAGAAAGGGGCGTTTAATTCCCGCCCACATGTAGAAATCGAATATTCAAGCTGTTTATTAATTTTTCCACCCAAGAACGAAAAACATACATTTAAGCTGAATTCTCGTTTTTCGTTTTTTGGGGAAAAAAATGAAAAAGGAGCCATTTTCTAATTTTTCTACTTTCAATATTAAATCAAAAAACGAATGATCGAATGATACACGGATTCCGCGGCTTCGGATGCTTTCACTTTCGAATTCATGATCTTGTCGTCACTGTTTTGCTTGCATACATCTACACACCTTTCATTTTTTAAGACTAAAACAAAAGATGGATTCATTGTTATTCTTAATCAAAAAGCACAACAACAATAAATCAGTAAGATACAATGACAAACTAGCTTACAAAACGTTTATTAACAAAAACGAATAAGATGAGGCATGGCACACACCACATGCTGTATTATATACCGACTAATAAATTATAGAACGTTTAGCAAACACTGAGGAATCAAATAAATAAATAAAAGAGAGCCTCCATAGCTTAAGGTAAACAGCAAAGATAAGTTTTTCAAAAATGAAAACAAAAAGAAAAGTAAAACTAACGGTGACAGTGCTTGCATGTTTTTCCCCCCACAAGAATACCAACATGTTCACCTTCTCTGGTTTCGCATCATTTTTGCTGTAGCTGAGTAGGTATTCTCTCTAAGCGCTGTTTCGTTATGCTTTCAGTTTCGTTTGCCCTTTGATGTTTCTATGTTTCTCAAGAAATTGCAGCACTTATGAGACCGCACACAAAATTTAGTCACACAGGCAGAAAAAATGGTCGCAGTCTGGCAGTCTGG